TGAAGGCTTCATTGCCTCATTATTGAGCCGATTGCCGTATATTACAGAGCGGGCTTGTAATGTGGCAATCACCTACCAGTCTGGTATAAATCCATCCTCATGTCTCTTCTCTGGGCCTTTTCCCTTTCGCAAATAAACTGTCCAAGGACATGTGTTTCTTACTGCTTGTGGGCTCAATGTTGGCTAGTGTGAACTAAGAAAATCCAGTTAAAGGATTTTCAAAATAAAGGATCCTTCAGACTCAGATAATACATTAAACGGAAATATTTAACTATTTCTTGTGCGGCCTGGTACCAATTGGTCTACAGACCGGTCTGCAGCCCGGTGGTTTGGGACGACTGGTGTAGGTGACTGGGAGCAATAGTTATAGTTTCTGTCTTACTGGTGTTTAGAACCAGAAAGTTACTGGAGAGTCAAACACTGATATGGGACAAACATTGGACGAGGATGACTCACTTGTCTAGTTGATGCGGTCTAAATGAAAAATACAACTGAATGTCATCAGTGTAAATATCATAAGAGATATCTGACAAGGACTGACTAATACCGGCAAGTGGAATGATATAAAAAGAAAACAAAAGTGGACCCAAAACTGAGCGTTGTGGCACACCACAAGTTAAGGGGGCATAGTCAGAGGAAAATCTGTCCGTCTTAATGCAGTATGTCCAGTGAGCTAAATATGAGGTCAATCAGTCCAAAGCTGAGCCACAAATACCAGCCAGGACCTTTGGGCTGTTTCAACAGGATTGCATGGTCTACAGTATCAAAGACACCACTAAGATCTAATAAAACCAATGATTAAAAGATCATTATGGACTTTTACTAAAGCAGTTTCAGTGGAAGCCAGACTGAAAGGGATCAGAGATCTGTAATGTACTAAACCAGGATCTGAGTTGAGTTTCTACAACTTTTTCAAGTAATTTACTGAGAAAGGGAAGTTTAGAGATGGGATGGAAATTGGAGATTTGTACCAGGGTCAAGCGGTCTGACCCGGAAGTTCTCTGTCTGGCTTACACAGGGGCCGTGTATCATACATCAAAATATAATATTCTTCTCTGGAGATTTCGATAATTCTGAAGATGTTGGTATCTTCTAAACTCTTCCACTATGCTTTCTTCCAATACCAGTTACTAATATTCCCTTCCTCTGATTTTTTTTAGTTTGTAAATTCATATTATTGTGTGTGTGCATGCATGTGTGTACACACACTCTCCAGAGAATAATATTATATTTTGTGTGTGCGTGTGTGTATGTGAAATATACACTTCCCTTGGTTTGGCTTCTTACAGGCAGTGTGAACTTTTTTTCACAATTATTTTTTATTGTTTCATACAGGCAGCTGTTCAGGAGAGAGGCCACAGCTCCAGGTTTGGATGCAGCTTCCCAGTGATCCTCTTCCTCCTCCTGACATCGTCTTCTTCAGTATCTCCTCATCTTTCATATACTTAAAGTATAGAAATATTTTGTTATGATTCCCCAACATAAGCTGAATATCTGTTTGTATGTTATTGTAATAAATACATTTTTAGGAAAACATTTTGTCCCTGTTTATTTTGTAAGATTTGAGTTTACAATCTGATAAGAGAAAATAAGGTTGGTAAATATATAGTAAGTACTGTAAATAAATCATCCAGTTATAAAGCACCAACTGGCTATATACAGGCTGATTACAATTTTAATATAAAATAATTAGTTTTATGTTTCTTGCCTATGAATCCAGAGCAAATAAATAATGGAAAGAATCAACTCAAAACTTTTAATTCAAAAGTTGTTCATTATGTTTAGTCAGTTGAGGATAATAATTTATAAGCAGAATCTTATTGTTGGACAGTCATAAGTCACTGATAAAAGTGTGAAAAAATATCCTGAGGGGATAAACCATGGAAGAGGATGATAGAACCTCATAACATTTAGCTAGCACCAGCATTATTATTATTATTATTATTATTATTATTATTATTATTATTATTATTATTATTTTAAATTAAAATAAGAATTCTCAGAAAAACATCAGAATTTTGAGATTAAGGTCAGAATTCTGTTTTTTTTCCATGGCTATAATCCTCTTCCAAAGGAAAACATTTATTTATTTAATCTTTCAATAATCTAATAACATTGGCACATTATTTCAAACAATTTCTACTTAGAAATAGCTAAATTTTATTTTATATTTTGGATAATTATACTTTTCTGCATCCTTGTTCAAGACATAACAGATTATAATTTCTATGCAAATGCTATTCATAAAGGAAAAACTTTAAAAACCTAGGGTTTGAATGACTGTTCTGGGAGAATGCTGTAGTTGTGGTTTGAGCGTCGTTTTAAACCTGAGCACATTTTCAAGGTTGTGAAAAATTGGGCAGACTAGCCCTTTAGCCATTTACTGAATCGAAGCTGCATTTAGAGGCCTTTGGCTTCATATACAAAACAAAGTCAGAGTTCAAGAATTTCTGTGTGAAGGTATCATGATGAAATTAATTACATGCCGCTTTGGATGACTTTACACAAACAGGTCTCTACACAGTGTGCATGACAGAAAGAACTTCCGGGTCAGACCGCTTGTCAAAAATGAAATCACGAAAATCCAAATTCAGCGCTTGTTGTCCGTTTTTTCCATTTCCATTTTGTGCACTAAATGGGAAATCGGATAACAAGCCGAACTGAGCCGTTATCCGATTTTCGATTTTGGTTTAATAAATGAAAAACGAAAAAACGAGTCTATTTTTATTTTTTCATTTTTCATTTCAATGAACAATTAAGTAAATTAATGAAAACACCTAAAATATTGACTTAAAGTATAACTGACAATGTGTAAATAATGTTTCTCATTAGTTGCCTAAACCAGCCAACATGAGTGGGTACATTAAGAGTCTATCAACTCAGACGTAACTACTGAGCAGCTTACCCCAGCTGAGACATGAAGTCCATGACGCCACTCTTCTTCAGGTAGTAGGTCACCACTCCACTGCCAGGTGACAGGCTTGTCTTTATGTACGGCTTCACATTTAGACCATACTCTATTGCTTTCTTAGCAAGAAGCCCTGGAACAACAGATGCTAGCAGTCAGTTTTGATTGGGACAATGGGTCATTTCAACATTAGTGCCATGGACAGATGTGGTACATCCACCTGCTCCAAGCATGACAGATGGGTTGCTGGTGTTGGTGCAGCTGGTGATAGCAGCAATGACTACTGAGCCATGGCCCAGAGTATACTCCTTCCCACTGAATTGGAAGGTGACCGCAGTGCTATGGCGTTCAGGTGCCACCTGGAAACCCTTAAATCCTTGCTAAGAAGATCAGAATTGAACGGTAAAATTAAATAGGTTCGATAAAAGCAATAAAAAAAATAGAAGAGTCACTATTTAATGATATTCACCATTGAATTTCACCAACATAATAAATCATGATAAAATACAGTATAAAGTTGAATAAATTCAAAAGCTGAAATGTTTAACATAACTTTCACTACTGTGTTGTAGCTTTGCCTTTTGTTGACCCTTCTATTGTATAAAACTAAACCAACGTAAATTTAACTAACCTTTGCTCCCAAACAAGATTCAAAATCCGTTTTCATTTCAGAAACGGGAATCCTGTCCTGTGGCCTTTTGGGACCACTGCAGCAAGGAACCACTGTGCCAAGGTCTAACTGTACTACCTTAAAGAGAAAAGAAAAACAAAGATCCAAAAGTCTTCGATCAGCCTTTAATGATTTAAATTGACTCTGATTTTAAATCCCAAACATACATTTGTTTTTCAGTTTTGAAACAAATCATGCAAGAAGATGAGCTTAATTACATGAGTGAAATCTGGATCCTGGGCAATATTATTGTAGTCTCTGAACATGCCTGCTGCCTTCAGGTACTTGGTAATGTAGGCCAGAGTTTCTGGTTCCCGTCCTAAAACAAGACACTATCATCACTTTTGATGAATGAGGTAAAGCGTCTTAATATCCATAGCTTCAAACTTACAGAGCATAAAGAGCAGTAACTGCTGAAAATCACATACTATTTTCTGTTGAGTTAATCTAGCAATCTTAAAAGTCTCCAGAAATAAGAGAATTCTAGTTCACACAGCTGGACACTCACCAGTCTGCTCCAGGTACTTCACACTGATGTCATCCACTGGGAAAAAAGCCGCTGTGGCTCCGTACTCGGGACACATATTAGCAATGGTGGCTCTGTCAGCAATGGATAGCTGGGCCACACCTGGGCCGAAAAACTCCACAAACTTCCCCACAACACCCACCTGACGGAGGTGCTTCAGGTCCAAGAAGTGGAGGAGTACGAAATGTCAGGGACACTGGACCATTTTGTTGTCATTTCTGCAGATAACTTCTGCAGAAACTAATTACCTTAGTCACAGTGAGGACGATGTCAGTGGAGGTGATGAGCTTGTCTGGTGTACCATGCAGTTTGTATCCCACCACTTCAGGAAGCACCATGCTTATTGGCTGCCCCAGCATCACAGCTTCTGCTTCAATGCCCCCAACACCTGAATGGCAAAGGCTGACTTTAATTTAGCAGCGAATCAGTACCTTTAACCCTTGTATGTCGAAATGGGGTCCAACCGACCCCACACACGTAAAACCTGTATCATTTTTCATAAACCTCTACGTTTGCCTCAGTCCTCGCACGCACAAGGGTTAAGGATGACATGCTATGAATGCACATTATCTATCTATCTATCTATCTATCTATCTATCTATCTATCTATCTATTTATTTATTTTTGGATAGTTAAACTGATGTCAACCTGATTTTAAGGCCAGAATTAGCATCACTGATCCCCAAGGCTCCCGCATGCTTTAAATGTTTCTAGGAACCAGTTCATGTCACTGGTTCCTAGTGACGTGAACCAGTCACTAGGAGGTTTCAGCACAACTTCTGACAGACAGGAAATAGGTTGGCTATTTCAGCAGGAACATGTGAAACATGCAGGACACAAATCCTATAAAGGTAGGCTGGTTTTATCAAGTGATTACATGTTTATATACATATTATTATTTTTGAAATGTGTGAAAACTGTTTCCTATTGAAGCCCATTTCCGGCATGAAAGAAAAAATAAAAGACCAACAGGAAGTCATAATTTCGACTTTCAAATTTCAAATCTCATAATTATGACTTTGAAAGTCAAAAATATGACTTCCTGTTGGTCTTTCATTTTTTCTTTTATGGCGGAAATGGGCTTCCCTAGGAAACAGTTTTCACACATTTCAAAATAATAATATGTATATAAACATGTAATCACTTGATAAAACCAGCCTACCTTTATAGGATTTGTGTCCTGCATGTTTTTTTCTGATTCCAAAAACTTAAAAGCCATCAGGAGAAAATTCAGTGTCACAAGATTTCTGGAAAAATGTAATAAAAGTCTGACAACATGATCATCTGCATGTAACACTGTAAAGTCAAACATCAAGCTGTAGTTCAAACAAACCAAATAGATTGGAATAAGGTAAGGGTTGTATGCGTTATGGTCTCACCCCAGCCAAGAACACCCAGTCCATCAATCATGGTGGTGTGGGAGTCTGTGCCCACCAGACTGTCTGGGTAGAAGAAGCCATCGTAATTAAACACCACCCGGGCCAAATACTCCAGGTTGACCTGGTGAACAATTCCTGAACCGGGAGGAATGATCCGCATGTTCTTGAAGACTTTGGACCCCCACTGGGAAAAACAGGCATCATGTTAACAATCTAGTTACTTCAAATAGTATAGACAAAGAGGTTGTTTTTAATATACACCTTCAAAAACTGAAATCTTTCTCTATTGCGGTCAAACTCTAAATCCTGGTTCTTCTGAAGGCTGTCAGACCTGGAGGAAGAAACAGGACCCATCAAGAGATAAAGCAGCAGGATAACACACAATCTACAGAATGATCCAATGATGGCAAGAACTGCAAGGTCTTACTTCCTGTTAAAGTCCACTTGGATGGAGTGATCAATAACGAGGTCAGCAGGACAAACTGGATTAATCTTTTCTGGGTCACCATCCAACTTCATCACGGCATCCCGCATGGCAGCGAAGTCTACCACAGCAGGAACACCACTGTAAAGACACACAATGTCAACAGACAGACAAGCACTTAAAACTAATTCTGAAACTTTTCAAATACAAACATTTTTTACAGGTCTTCTGACAATTACAATAATTTATATATTTATATATTTGAGAAAACCTGTTATGAAACCTTTTGTGTTTTATACTTTCATTGAACAGGACAAGAACAGGCTGGTACTGATAAACGCAATTAGACCCCAGAAAAAGCCAGATCTTATGAAAATGTGGCTGAAGCTGGTAAGACAGTGTGAGCTGAAAGGCCACTCATTGAGGAGGAAGCCATTACTCCAAAAATAAACATAAAAAAGCGAGACTGCAGTTTGTAAAGACATGCAGGGACAAAGTTCTTCATTTTTGGAGACATGTCCTGTGGTTTGACAACACTAAGATTAAAATATTTGGCCATAATGAGCATAGCTACATTTGGAGGAAAAACTGGGACGCTTGGGATCAACCCATCCTCATACTTCCTGTCTATGAAGTATAAGAGTGCCAGCATCATGTTGTGGGACTGTTTTGCTGCATAACTGGGTGCACGTCATAAAATAGATTGAATCATGAGGAAAGAACATTATGTAGGAATGCTGAAGTCACACCTAATGGCATCAGCCAAGAAGTTAAATGGACAATAATCATCAGCCCAAAAATTAACATGGACTCCCATGTAAATTTCTAACTTTGAAAATATTAAAATTTAAATGTCTGACATATCCTTTTTCTCATTTTTTGACTTCAGATAATGAAGGAAAAATGTGTAAATGTAGTTTTATTTGGTGTATCTAAACTTCTATAAATAAGAGAGGTACATTAACTAGGACATATTACAATGGAAGAATGCAACAAACTACTTCTAATAAAAATGCTCCAGGGTTTCACCCAGTGTAAATCCTGGTGGACTGCTAGGCTTTACTTGCCCCCCGCTAGGCTACACATTGCTTGTATTTTCTATTTTTTTAAAGGTTTTGTTGGCTCTAGTGGCCTTTATTTGAAAGTAGTTCGACAGGAAACAGGGTAATCAGAGAAGGGGAAGACATGCAGCAAATGTTGCCAGGTCGGGAATTGAACCTGTGACTACCGCCACATGGACTAAAGCCTCAATATGTGGGTGGTGCTTTGCCTCTGCACCACCACAGCACCCACGTTGCTTGTTTTTATATATAAAATTATTATTTTTTTTTTTTTTAATAAGCTTGACTACAGCATCTCTGCTGCACTGAGAATATAACTGGCAGGGCAGAGTTGTTCCTGAAAGATAGGTTTATAGTTGATGATTTGAACAGGGCATGAAGGCGGGAGTGTGCACCAATCACATTGCTGGCGCCTCGGTGCTTTAGCCTCCTAACGTGTTATTGCAGTTTGATCTCTGAAAACTTTCACTAAAATTGGACACAGTCTCCCATGTAAAGGCATTTATTTAGAACACTTTATTTGGGATTTTTTAGTAACAACATCACATTTATTAACTGACAGGACAAAATTGGTTCAGTATCAATCAAAATTCAAACAATAAGACATACCTGAAGTAAAATACATTTACGATAATATAACACAACAAAAAGACAAGAAGAACTGGAAGTGGGTTGGACAAGGTAGGGAAAAGGGCTAACCAATAAGGATTAAGAAAAATGTATATGAATCAGAGATAGGGTGAGAGACAGATGGTATCGGCATCGCTCATAGATCCTGTCGAGTCCGGCTCGATTACAGGAAGGTCAGTCAATCCATTGTGCAGGTAGGTTTTGCATACAGCTTAGAAATGGTTGCCATATTTTATAAAAAGTCTTACTTCTATTCTGCATCCAATAGGTTATTTTTTCTAGGGTCACACAGCTGTTGAGCTCACAAAGCCATATTTAATTGGAAGGCGGGCCTCTGATTTCCATTTTGTTGCAATACATTTTTTAGCAACTGCCAGAAGGACTTCTGTAAGTTTCTTATTATTTGTCTTTAGATTGGAGTTCATAAAGTTCCCCAATAAACAAATTTC